AAACAAAGGAATATAAAATCCGTAATTGACTGCATGACATGCAAAAGGACAAAGGTACACAATGACAAACTGGCTACGGTCTTTTTACGCCACACACTCGTGGGACAGCGAGTGCATTTGACGTTGTACACTATAGTCTCATCGGACGGTATGAGAAGGGGACGTATAGAATAAGTGGCATTGCATGATCAAGTGGACCGCTAAAGGTGGGCATTGACCTTAATCGATTTGAGCAAATGATAGCCGTATACTTGGATCGCGAGTGCTTGTGTCGCTATCTATGGCTAGATAGTTCGCCAATGGCCATGTCACTGACTATAATACCATAGTTTCAAGAATTACTCAAATGATATGGGGTTCAGTCGAAGTGAACCACGTCGAGATCCGTGAGACAATGCAACATCTGAACGTGCTCACTTATAAGCCCTCAAAACTTGCTCGTGGTATCAGGATGTGAGAAGGACAAAAAACATTCACTATGAATTCCTTTCTGTCCAGGATAGCTGTCATATCATCCAAATGCTTCTCCAGAATAGCTCTTTTGGAGAAGGCGTGATTACCGGGCAACTTCACAAATAAATGTGCAGTTTTTGCCGAAATGGCGGTTTACCGCCATCTTCACTAACAACCATTGGGAAAATACAAATCGATCAGGCACTTTTGCAAGATGGGTGATCAATTGTACTCCGCGTCCTTCAAAGTACGGGATTAAGTTACTGCAGTGTGAGTGAGCAGTTTCCGAGTATCATGGTCAGTCCACATCGTATTGTCATCATCGTGAACGGCACTACCACTGAGCAAGTCAGTATTCGCTGCATGAGTCTCTGCTAAGCCTGCTGCTATATGTGAGCTGTTTTCGCATTCTGGTGGCTGTACGCTTGATGGACATGCATATGGGACGGACGATCATATACTGACAGGTTGTTATGTGTCGTCTGTATACGTACGAAATATCTTACGAACATACACATGCTATCTAAAAGGTGTTGTAACTTGAGCGGGAGGCGAAGCGAAAACGGAGCGGAGAGACCGGAGAGAACAAAGCGGAGAACACTTGCTCACTTGAGGGAGGATTCGAAAGTGATTGATTCATAGGTCTTAACTCTGCCTACCCTAGACTGCATCCAATCACATGGTGCATCTAATCAACCTGATTTACACGCGTCCAATCATCCTACGCGTCTAATCATCTCTGAGGTAATTACCGACGTAAAAGTATTCCGTAAAAACTACGCTTAAGTTCGGATTGTACCGGTAACTCTCAATAAAAGGTGAACAAATATCACATTACGACACTTGAGCGAAGCTTATTCTTGTTACCAATTTGTCAGTAAGGTCCAGCTCACATTTGGGAAAGAGTAGTTAGTTGTCTTTGTAGAACTTTCGCATGAGCACTTTGTGATGTTGATTCCGTAAGAGAGGTCTTGTAGTTTTACGAACTGAGGGGATCTCTGTGTATACAACCTATCCGTTCATATTGTAAGAACGAAACGACTATCTGAGTATTTGTATTTCTTTGTCATTGAAGAGCTCTGGTATCTATGCTGTAATTGTCGTCTTCTGCTGTCTATACCACTAGCCCGTTGATGTGCTACTCTACTACGTCTTATCACAAAGGAGTACTTTACGCTTACATTGACGACGAGTAGACATGTGGCACAAAACCCACGTACACTGTCGTGCAGATACAGCGAATATGAACGCAAGCAAAATTGCTTGGTTGAATGGCATAACTTACCGTCATTTGAAATGTACAACGCTCCTGATTTGCAGAAGGCTTATTTTAGATATGTCCAACTGCAATACATATGGTGTTTACTCCTACTCACTTCACATTGCACGCGTCTGTACGTCTGATTCGTGAGATTCTTCGCTGACGTTATGTCCTCGATGAGCAATTGTGCAGCGTGCCTATATGTGGACCGTGCCTACATGTGTAGCTGTTAAAAATCTGCGCGTGGCACTGAAGCTGCTTGAATAAATGGTGGCAAAAGACGATGTGAACATATTATGCATGTAGGCCTTTAACTCTCTCCCTGTAGTCTTACCAAGTTTTTTGTGCGACCCGTGCGCTTGCGATTGACAAAACTGCTTTTATCGAGCATCTTCTGCTTATGACGCATTCACCACGCCGTGATTTTTACAAGGAGGAAGGCGTTGCAAAGTCTCTGAGGGGTCATTTGATGTATTCGATAAGTTTCTAGAACCCAGCTAGAAATTACTCGACTGACTCGCCGAGTCTGGGACTCGATGAGAGCATCTTCTTCCGGTAGCAAGAGTCACGGGGCACGTTGCACCTGGAATGCTTACATCGCAAATAAGCAACACAGATGCCGTAGTAAGGTACTGTATCCTACACATTATGTAACGGGGCACGCTCTTGCTCAGATAACTGAGCAAGGCCTTGTATTGATAACAACACAAGGGTGAGTACGCCCGACGTCACGTACTCGTGGCGTGAGGAAGCGCGACCAAGACAATACAGAACCCGAAAGCTCTGTCTTGAGGGAAAAGTAGGACTGTTATTTAATGTAGTTATGTTTCTTGCTAAATCATCAGTCGTCTTCATCTAACTATATTAAACTACTTTCTCCTATGTGGGTCTTCTGTCCACCACCCCTTGCGCGCGTCCAGCAGCAATTGGTGGTCAAATTGGTTGATGTAAATGGTACAGCATCTAAGAAGTGGACCCCTCCACGGATATTACCCTTGGAGATAATATTCCGACAACATCACTTTTCTCGAGTGATGTTGATTGAACATTATCAACATAGATAATATTCAAAAATTGGTACTTCTGTACCAATTTTTATGTAACGGGATCACCCCGTTACACATTACGCACATTACGTGCAGGAAGCGATCATGGAACAGAGTGGTTTAGTTACATTGAAAGAGAGCTATTTCTAATGTAGCTCAATTCACCAATATGAATTGTGGATTAATATTTAAGACCAGCTTAGTGTAAACTTGAGTTATAACAATGTGCTGACCATTCCTGGCATGTTTGTTGTGTTGATTGGTGGAAAGTTAGTCAATAGTATGGCCGGTATCACCCGTGTGCAGAACATCATCCGTTTGCTACACCCCACCTCTCAATGTAGTATTACGAGAATCTATTAAACATTACCTACCAAGGTGATATTCACGCGGACATGTTTCTGTTGCCAATGCGATGTAACAAATACCGCGCAACAGTGCCGAAGATTACCTCCAAACGTGACATTCTCTAAGAAAGCATTGTGGTAATCGAGTTTGCTAGTTATTCTTAGGAAATTTATCTGTTGGACCCTTAACCTAATGCAAGTGTCGTGTCGGGTTCCCTCCGTCACTGTCTCTCCACAGCTTTTGTCCCATAGCGGTCAGAAACAGCCAAGGAGAAGCGTCGATTTACCCGTTGCCGGCGAAACCGTGAACAAGCTCGCCATTGGACGCACGTCCTGTTAAACCTAGTTCCTAGACCTCACTTTCAGCACATGGGAAGCCGACAGAGGTGCACGGTCTTCAGAGTTCAAAGGGATAGTGGTATGCAATTGCATGGGGTCAAAGAGACACTGCGTTTCACATACTAGCTATGATGTAGACCAAGGATTAACATGTACAATGGAAATTTCACACTCTCTCGAAATTACGTAAGGTTTGTCGCTGCGTCATAACTTCTTGTTCACGACAGCATGTCATTCATAGCGCGGCTCACGTGGAGGTTTCATCTAGATTTATGACATGCGAGTCGGCTTTTGCGACACGTTTTATCCACATTTTTCAGTCGTCGTCTGTTTTTTTTTCTGTTAATTCAGGAGCTAGCGCTCAAGTTCAACCACGCCCAAACAAGGGCAGAGCATTCCCAAATTTTCACGGTTCAGCTCAAGCCAGTCTTTTTCCCTTCGGGGCAGTCAAGTCGGAGGGAATCCTCCCCTTGGGGAGCCGACGTGGTCGAAGATCTGACGCGGGCACGCTGCACTCGCAGTCGCGGGTGTGGGCGTAGGAGACCGACGGGTCGCGCAAGCGGCCCTAGCAGGGGTGTTTTACGGACTGGAGGCGTACCCCGCGCCACGTGTCGCCGCTGCGGCGAGCGCACACTCCACGTCAAGGGGCCGCGCAAGCGGCTGAAGGGGGCCACCATCGCAGATGGTTGAGCTCCTCGGAGAGATATATGGCGGGTTGGCGTTCTCCACGCCACGCAGTCACTTCGGTGATCGCACTCCACGTCGGGGGCCGCGCAAGCGGCTGAAGGGGGCCACCATCGCAGATGGTTGAGCTCCTCGGAGAGATATATGGCGGGTTGGCGTTCTCCACGCCACGCAGTCACTTCGGTGTTCGCACTCCACGTCGTGGGCCGCGCAAGCGGTCCTAAAGGGGTTTGTTGCCTTATATGGCAGCATACCCGCGTTGTACGTGCTGCCGCTCCGGCGGTACGCATGTCCCCAGTCTACTTGGTCGCGCCAGCGGTCATGATTGACTCGTAGTTGGCTTCGGTAGGAGGGTCTCTGACCTCGTTGCCGTCGCCCCTGGCTCTACGGAGCCCTTTAGTTGTCGACCCGATACCCGGGCCGTACTTCTTGTCACACTTATCAGTCGTTAGTTATCATAATAATGGACGTACTTGACACCACCACCAAACAAGGGCAGAGGACCTTTTCCACGTGCGTACCAATTCGTTCCGTAACCCGCGTAACTTTTTACACATCGCTGAGAAATGCGTCGTGTGGTTGTAGGTTTCACGAACTCGATTCAGCACTTAGGCCGATCTCGAGTAAGTACCTCCCGCATCCCGGTTCCCAGCTCGATCGTCTACTTTCTCCTCCCACGCTGTCGCACTAAGTGTCGGCCGCGCTGCTCTCCCCCTTTCCACAGCACAAACACACACTTCCGACTCACGCACTACGTCGCTCCCGTCGCCGCCTCTCTCTCTCTCGCTCTCTCTCTCTCTCCGTCCGCCGTCCGCCGTATAGACGCCCGACAACCGCTCGCCGTCGCTTGCTCCACTCAGCCCATCACTCATGGCCGGACCCGCCTGCATTCAGTGGATCCGCGACGAGCTGGAAGCTCATGGCGTGCTCGAGGAGCTGAGCCCGCCGCTCCTGGACACGTCGTCGCTGTGCGCGTTCGTCACGGACGGCCGCGCACTGTGTCTGCTGACGAACGCCGTGCTCGAGGGCGAGGAGGACGAGCTGCCCAAGAAGCTGCGGCGCTCGCTCAAGCAGCTGAGCAAGTTCCACGCCCTCGAACGCGTGCAGTTCTTCCTCAAGTGGTGCCGCGCGCGCGCTAAGCTCGAGGAGCACCTGGTGTTTACGACGGTGCAGCTGCTGGACGAAGTGAACGAGACGGCTGTGTCCGAGACGATCGTCGCGCTGCGCTGCAAGACGCGGCCCGGGCTGAAGGGCGGCAGTGCGCTGGCCCAGTACTACTTTGACGGCGGCGTCGCGGGTCACGCATCGCCGTCGACGATCGGCGGCCCAACGAGTTCGACAACCAGTGCAAGCGCCAGCACGACCTCGAGCGCCGACAATGCCAACCGCCTCAGTTCGTTCCTGAACAAGTTCCCGTCCTCGCCCGCCGCGAAGCCGCCGATGAGCCACAACCGCACGTCGTTGACTTCCAGCGTCGTGAGCAGTAACCCGTCGCCGCGGGATATCGAAGAGCCCGTGCCTGGCGACGGAGATGGTGCTGAGTATAGCAACGCGAACAACAACAGCGACAGCAATCAGTCCCGGCTGCGCATCCCGTCTATTTTCAAAAGTCAGAGCAGTGCTACGGCGTCGCACGCATCTGCCACGCCACGGAGCAGCGTCATTAGCAATGCGTCATCGACAGCGTCGACTGGCAACGACCACAATCGCGATTCACGCTCGCGCTCGTGGTCGAGCAAGCTCTCTGCCTTTTCGCGCAGCCACTCGTCGTCACCCGGTGTCAAGACGTCGTCGTCCACAGGCGATCTCGGGAGCAGCGGCACACCGCAGTCGTCACCCCCAGCCTCGCCGCACAACCGCGTCAGTATTCCTAGTGCCTTTACCGCTCCTGCTTCGGCGCCTCGCAAGTCGATGTCAAGGCTGTCAGCGTTTTTGAGCAGCGTGGACACGTCGGCACCTGTGACCCCTGTCAATGATGCATTTTGTCAGAAGGAGAAAGTGTCGGAGGCTGCTGTGGAGACCGTGTTGAAACCGGTCGGTGAATCTGTGGTGGAAAAGGGTGTCGAAGGCGTTTATGAAGACAACCAAGGGAACGCAGACGAAGAAGAACCATTAGTCGTTGGAGAGGACGTGCGTGCTAAGGAGAAAAGCGTGGATATGGATGAGGAGACTGGGCGCAAGCGGCTGAAGAAGCCACCTTTGAGCGCGAAGCTGATTGCTTTCTTGCAAGCGGTTGAGCCTGAAAGCGTGACTGCGTCCAAGCAGAAAGTTTTGGACGAGGAAGAGAACGACTCTGTTGCAGCGGAAGCTGAAGGGTCGGTGACAGCTGATAGCGAAACCTCTGTGCTTAATACGAAGACCATTGTTCGTCCCGAGGACGTGGTTGCTGAGACTGAGAGTGAGGTATCAAACGATGAAGTGGATGAGAGTCGAGCTGATTCTGAATCAGAAGCGACAGCTGTGCAAGAGGCAGCCGTGCAGGATACAGCCGTCGAAGAGGCAATTGTACAAGAGGCGCCCGCTAAAGTAAGTCGTGAAGCTCAAGGACTTTCTGTAGAGGAGTCAGGAAGCGGGATTGAGGAGACCATCGAAAAGGAATCTATGGAATTGCCTCAGGACGCTGGCATTGAAGCAAATGCCCAGCCGGTGTCTCCAGACGTTGTGCACGAAAACGAGAGTCTTGCAACAGAGAATGAAGTGCTTACCCAACAGCTGCGTGCGGCTGAGGACGAAGTTATGAGAAAAACAGAAGAGTTGTTAGCGCTGGGCCAGGAAGTTGAGCAGTTGAAGGCACAACTCGCGAAGGAACAGACCGACTCACAAGGCATGGTTTTGGCAGCAGCGAAGGTCCAGGAAGCCCTTACTGCAGATGTTGCTGACGCTCGCGCTGAACTTGCTACCTTCCAGCAAACGGGTGCGGTTTCGACATCTGCTACAAAGGAGGCAACTGGGGCAACAGCTCAGGTGGTGGAATTGCTAGCCAAGAACAAGACTTTGACGACTGAAATAGTGAGCTTGCGCGAGGATGTACAGACGCTGGAACAGTCTGTTCAGCTAGCGCGCGACAGCGAGGACGCGGCAAGATACGCTGCACAAGTCGCATTCGCGGCACGTGACTCTGCGGACGAGGTGAACCAGCAACTGAAGGATCAAATTGCGCAGCTTGAGAGTCTGTAGGTCATTGAAGGTGTAAATCAGGTTGAGTAGCCAGGGTGACTTCCGAAGATGTAGATCAAAGTGTGCTGGCAAGGGGACTTACGGCCGCGGAGCGGAATGACAAATTTTGAATGCTTGCATAAGGAGATGGTTGGTTCTAGCTTGTTTGGGGACCTACGGCCGCGGAGCGGAATGACAAATTTTGAATGCTTGCAGAAGGAAATGGTTGGTTCTAGCTTGTTTTTATATCGAATCGGTCTGATAACCTGCTAAACTTCGCCGCAGTACTGACGCGCCAGCAAACCCTACAACTATAAAGAGGCACACTATTAGGGCAAAGAGACCGAGGAGATGAAGCATGCTTCGGAGATACACTCGTACGTCCGAAGCTGACCATTCTGGACACTTGCCGCATTTGGCGATCTGAAATGTAGCACCATAGGTCAGTTTCATGGCACGTGCACACAGTAAACCGCCGCTACGATACGTACGTCGTTTGCTGTGTGGCCTTGGTCAGCTCCGGTGTTGAGTATCGTCATATCCTCGAGGCACTTGTTGTCGATAGTACTCTGTTCACCGCCAGATGCAACTGAGCTGTTACACGCAATCCAGCTATTCTCGGAGGAGTGCATGGCACCTTCGCATCGAGCCATTTCGGAAACCAGCTCGGTGCAGTTAGTACATCCCGGTAGGCTGAAATCACACGCCAGCGATGAACTCGTGCTTTGTACATTGTAGGTCGACTCCAGATTGTCCGAAATGGAGAAGGCGCCGATCGAGCATACCATGAGCGCAACGAAACAGCCTCCAAGGCCAATGATGTACTAGCTTACAGAAACAACGAGCCAGTCAGTACTCTAGATCCTAAAGCAGCTGTCCAGTAATCCTGAATGCGTACAACGAGGAGTAGCGATCGACTTTTGGCCCTTGAGGCGATAATGCCCAGCACAGAGAGGGCAAACACCAGCGCGCCGACAACAATACAGATAATGGCTGCATGGCCACAACACAGCACACTTAGGACACCGCACAACCAGCATCAATCGAAACTTTGTCTCTCACTACCCGTACCCATCCACTTTTGTCCCGACGTCATTGCGTCGTAGACATTACACGCGAGCCCAATAGCAAACAGCGCCGTGCCCAGTAGCATGAAGACGACGTTCAAGACCGACTGCAAACGGCGCATGACGATTGGCACCGTCACGATGCGCACGACGCAGTACATGGCCGCGATGACCAGCAGCATACATGCGATGCCCATGCCCCCGACAATCACTGCACAGTGCGTGAGGTACCGCACCGTATCGCTGTACGTGGCGCAGCACGGCGCGTCCCTCAGCGCCGAGAGGACAGAGGCAGTCCAGTGACGTTTGACCCACAACTCGAGTACGTCTTGGAAGAGGAAGGCGGCGTAGCACATCGCGAAGAGGCACGTGACCAGCAAAAAGTCGCAGAAGAAAAACACGAGCAGGAGACGACTTTTACGGCCGCGCCTCGAGCCAACGAAGCCCAGAACAGATAGCAGCATGACAAAGTTACTGATGGTCGCGAGCGCCGCAGCGCCGGCCCGTAGGCCTACAGCGATCCTGAGGTGGAGCGCAAAACTCGCCATGAGCAGGCCGCAGCCAAAGCTCAGGATAGTCAGTAACCGCAGAAACGTGCGAGACGGACGCATGATCGATCGATCGCTGGTATTTGTGCACGCAATTGACTTTATTGGTGGACCGACATTTTTGGTAGTGATAAGCTCGTTTTTTTCTGATTTTTGTAGGACAGGCGATACTGTCACACAAAAGAGTGCGCGCTGAATCGAAATTTTATGGTACATTTTGCTGATCAGGTTTAGAATGAGTAAGCCAGGCTCTAGTTTCGAGAAGCGAGACTCAAACTAGGTCGGGCTAAACGGTAAAGACTTTACTATCAGTTCTACCCCCAGAACAACAATGCGTTAAAGTTGGGGCTGGAATGGCCAGCGACAAATGAAGACAATAGAACAAGCGCGCGACCGTAAAAAGACAATAGAGAGTCGATGTTGGCGGCAGGCAAGATAGTACATCAAGCTTTGGACCCTGCCTCAAAGTGAAAAGTAAATATCGGAGGGGCTGCTGCAGTGTGATCGGGTTGCTGTAACTGGGTGAGCACGTTACATGACGTCTACATCTACAAATGTCAATGCGGATATGTTTCTCGCAGGTGTATTCTTGAATTTGACAAGTAAAGCGGTAACAATTAGTGGCTTCTGCTCATTGATTGACACATGCCATCTTATTCAACCAAGAATGCGTCCAATAAATGATGGGCGCGTGCAATTGGTCGCTGGTAGATAGTTACTTCTGGGTGTTGGTATTGTATAACATTATATGCATAGCTTGACAAGACATAAACCGAAGAAAAATATAACACATACATACTCTTTACACCTTTGACTTACGTCTTACTAAGTCTACTCGCTTCCTCTGCAAGTACGTGCACGTGAGGTTTCGCGGCACCTGCGTACTCTGTTGCCAGTGTAGGTTGCCTTATATTGTGGGTAGCACAAGTGTGTGCCCACGTTACATCATATCGCACGTCGTGGTTCGCCTAGCGATCATGACCGATCCACCATGAAGTGGGAGATGAGAACAGCTATCTGGATACCTGTGAATGCTTTAACATTGCAATGACATCGAATGGGCTACGGTTGACCGCATATTTCGGCCGTGGGTGACCTGGCCGTGAACACCATCTTGTTCGCCAACAACAAGATAAAGCTGCCCTTGGCGGTCCGACACATGTGCGTCGACCTAAAGCTCGAAGGCTGACATGTTTAAGCTTGATGCGGTAGAAGAAGACCTCACCTCGAAGAGGATGCGATGAAGGTAGAGTCCGTCAGGTCCAACATAAATGTATATGCCAGGCCTAAGGGCTCAAGGATAAGCTTCACTACCCCTACGTGCTGGGTCGTATATTAGTTAAAACGCGACTCAGACAATTGCTAGACCCGCGACGACCCATAAATGACCCAATTATTGGATCATGATGGTAGAGCAGGGTGATTGTGATGTACACAAGTCCGCTTCTCCACATAGTGCCTGACAAGCTGTACCGTGTGTGGTCCCATTTATAAGTATGCACTGTACTCATCAAGAGCCTTGTTGTGTTTACCTTGATCCCACCTGTTCCATCTGTAATAAGAGCCGATAGATCAACCGAATAATGTAGCGGAGTGGGGGTATCTACATTGAGTGAAGCTTAAACGATATCAGAAGCCCTTCATTCAGCGGGATGACAGGCAAGCAGAGGTCCAGAACCCCCTGACATGTTGAAAGAGATCGAGATACCTCGATCATATCATCACAAGCTTTTGCAAAAGATCAAACGCTGTCAAAGCCAGCAAATGTCTACAAGTGCAAAAACGTGCGCCTAATGACTCAGGATATTAGCAGAACTGGCCGATGTCCGCCAAATAGGGGCAGCGACGCGATCCCGACGTCGTTGCGAATTCGCGACATATAAGGGATCGTCACATCGGCCGGGCCAGTAGAAGAGAAAAGTCTCACTGACTCAGCAACGTCAAATAGAATTCGAAGTGCTCATAATACAGTTTGATTCTCCCATCAAGTCATGCGTGATGCTGTTGCAAAATAATACATTAATAATTAGGAAAGAACGAATCGCGTGTTCGGTTATGTCAATCGATATTGTTTGATGAAAGCTTTCGCCATGTCGCGACAGTGGAATATACAGGAGACTGTTAATGGAATCGAATGATATGCCTCGAGGCGATGCATGGTAGTAGTGGGTAAGTATATGGGGATGTGCGAGCCGATTGCCAACCGCGTTTCATTATCCGCGATGTACAGCCTACGATCGAAGCCATTTACTAGAGCATATATGTAACGTTTAGGTTACCCGATAGATGATCTATTACTATCAAAGGATCATGATTATATAAGTCATGTCAAGTATAACGGAATGGCGGCAGAGGCATGTTCGATGAGGAAGATCGATAGACATCGTTGCGGCGATCGTGATTGACCTCGATAATTGTGCCACACTGCGATCCGCGGTCAAACACCTAGTCTAGAATTGCGATCCGTGATCGGGAACAAGATCGATAGTTTTCTATTGCATCTTTAACACCCCGAGACCCGCCTCCGTGATATGCGATCGATGGCGGTCCTTAATTCGCGATCATAGGTCCGAGATTTGTGATCTGTGATCGCGACCCATATAAATCTTGACGTTTGGTAGACTGCATAGTACACGAAGACGATATTTGGAGAGTGATTACAAAGGACAGAAAATGAGGAGATACGTGTAACGGGGCAGACCGTTACATGGAATTGTCACTTTGAAGAAAGTGACAATAAAGAATATTAAGTTGAATATTCTTTGAACAATATCACCAAAGTGGTGATATTGAAGAGTCGACCAAAGAGTCTGTTCATTGGTTGATATCTTGATGATATCAACCCACCAATCGCCGCAAGACGCGCGCAATGAGTGGTGACGAGACGTCACCATACACTCAGTTATATTAGCATAATTAAGTTAAGTCGAACAGAGGGACAGTAGTTAAAAGACTTAGTTATATTGATATACCAGTTCTGCTTTTACCTTATCTACGCTTCCTCGCTTGCCTTGTGTACGTCTGTCGGGGCACCGATACCCTTGCGTTAAGTTCACGCAAGGGTGTGCCCCGTTACACCTGGTAGCACTTTGTAGTCCTTCCAAGTACCACAACATCCAACATGAACATGTTGGATGATGAAGAGACCTTTCACGCCACGCGTGAAGGGTTTACTCATTTGAGTGACATCGAACGGTGTGCGTCAGAACGATTGAGTTCTACCGTAGGCGAGTTCGCCATTAGCGCCATGTTGGAGTCTCTTGACAGAGACCAGCAACATGCCGCTATCACCAAGTTCATTCAACATGAACTTGTCACCGAAAGGGAGAAAGTAGCCTTGCTTCACCATCAAGGCTCTCAACAGACCGATCAGTTGAGAGAACTCGGTGCTCAACAGACAGAGCTGTTGAGACAGCAGCAATTCCATGCTGCTGTGGACGGGACGGCACATGAGCGTCGTCCCGAAGTCATGAAAGTTGACATCCCCAAGTACAGTGGAGTCCCGGAAGACTCCCTGTTACTGTGGTTTGTCGAACTCGACAGAGCCTTATGGGATCGTCGCGTCGAAGATGAGCAAATGAAACTCACATTTGCTCAGACCCACTTGGCAGGGCGTGCCAAAACTTAGTCCCTGGGGCTCGAGAGTAGCGACCCACATGTGTTTAGGTCGCTAGATGACTTCAAGTCCCGGCTCAGACAAACGTTTGAGCCGCCACGAGCTGAGTTCAGGGCTCGTTCAGAGCTCCTGAAACTCAAGCAGGGTAAGCGTGATGTGCACGCTTACGCACAACATATACGACTCCTCGCGAGTAGTATAACTGCTAACCCAGTTCATGAACGCACGTTGATTACGGTGTTCATGCAAGGGCTTGCAGAAGGGCCCGTCAGAAGCCACCTGTTCCGCCTTGAGCTGAATATGCTTGAAGAAGCGACATCAGCCGCGGAACAGGAATAATTTAGCATGAGACAGGCTCATGCTAGCTCAAAATCTTACCGTCCACCGAGACGACAAGAGATCGGAGGTCCAGAACCAATGGACCTCTGCTATGTTGAGAGCGAGAGACCTCGCTCTACAAACAACAAGCGATTGCAGAGGTGCAATCGCTGTCAGAAGTTAGGGCACTACGCATACGAGTGTAGTGCTCCACGCCCAGTACCAAACAGTACTGAGCGAATTAGACGACCTTTTGCCAGAAAGGGCAATGGGCGTGGGTCCAGCGCTGTTGCGGCTTCGCAACAGCGAGACGGACCATCAAAAAATGGTCGGGGTCAGTAGGGGCGGAGCGCCCTACTGATCCAGCAACCTCAAGAGAATTTGCAAATCTCTTGACGAAAGTTGCTCCAGATACACAATCATTGTGTGTCTCTGCACCTGGTGATGACGTTTCGCTCATCACCTTGAAGTTGGAAGAGACAAATGATTTGTCGCTTCGTGCCCTAGTAGACTGTGGGGCGTCGAACAACTTTGTTCGTCGCCAGTCACTAGAGGGTCGTAGGCTCAATTTCGTTGAGCGCGACATTCCCCTCACGAGGATGACGGTGCGCCTTGCAACAGGCGCATCGATTACCGTTAGGAAACGTGTAGTAGGAATTAACTACACGTTGGAGGGCGAACAGTACGATGATGACTTCATCGTACTAGATCTGGATGACAAATTTGATGTCATCCTGGGATTACCTTGGCTCAGAAGGTACGAGCCAAGGGTGAGCTGGCAGCATCGATCCATGAAGATGCCTGCCGCTTGTTCGTCAGATGGCCATCTGATGAACATCTTGGAGAGTCCACAAGCGTGTGGATGTTCTGCGAGTGAGTGCGATGGCCTCACTTGCGGTACGGTCGTTAGCACGACTGCACAAGATCACAGTGTAGTTGATCACTACACTGTGGAGCAAGCTCCCGGCGGCTGTATAGAAGTACAGGCTGCGCCGAAGGTCCACCACTCGAATAAGTCGAGTGGACCGGGACATGAATGCATGCCTAGAGGGCAGCATCTTAGAAGAAAGAAGTCTGTTGCCTCCAAGGGGCAACATGGAAATCCTAGGTCGACTGGAGAGTCGACCGT